GAAGGGGCAGGCGGAGGGGGGCAGTGGAGGGGTGAAGGGGCAGGCGGGCGGAGGGGGCAGGCAGGGAGAACACCACTGTGTTCAGATCTGCCGAGTAACAGGCCCCACATGGGCTGTATGTGCACAACTTACAGCAACTGGGCAGGGGGTCCAATCTCTCGCCCAGGGTCACAGAATGGTCGGGAATGAGCTTCGACCTGTGAGCAAGCAGCCTCCCGCCCTGCGGAGAGCTGGCCTTACCGGGGCGCCACCAAGATCCACACACAGGGTTCTGTCCTGGGAAGGGCTGGCCCAGGTGCTCTCCCGCTCGCTTCTACACCCTACTTGGCTCCCCACATTCAGGGTAAAGTTCCAAATCCTCAGCCAGCGGGAATAAAGTCCAAACGTCCCAGCACCCGGCTCCGACCAGCCCAGTCTGCTCCCCTGGACTCCAGCCAGGAGAGGCCACACGTTCAGCCTGCCCTTTTCCCCCTACGCCTGGAGCCACTCCCACTGCTGCTCCCTCCATGGCCTTCCCTGCAAGGGCACCTGAAGGGACTCCACTGGGATGACACCTTCCTCAGGTGTAACCATTGGATTATCCTACACGCCAGCTGTAGTGGACCCTCACCGTCTCCAAGGAAATCATCAGCTCTCGAGGGGTAAGGGGGAGGGATAAACTGAAAGACTGGGATTGACACATACACACTACTATATGCAAAATAAATAATAACAACCTAATGTATACACAGAGAATTCTTCTGAATACTCTGTAATGACCTATATGGGAAAAGAATCTAAAAGAGAATGGATATATGTATGTATAACAGATTCACTTTGCTGTACGCCTGAAACTAACACGACATTGTAAATCAACTATACCCCAATAAGAATTAAAATAAATAAATCTATTATTAAAAAAAAAAAGCACATCAGCTCTCACACCTCCAGCCCTGCTCCCATCACCTGCAACAACCTTCTGTACCTTCTTGACCTAGCAAACGCCCACTCATCCTTCAGATCACCCCTCAGGCACCTCTGCTTCTGAAAAGCATTCCTAGGCCAACTGCGTCCCTCCTTCTGTGGTGTTCCCGTGACCCTCCACCTACCTATCGCTTGGCCCTCATTTGAAATATCCGGAGAGCTTAAAGTCCCTGCCTCCAAAGGCTCAGACTGCTGGGGAAGATGAGTGAACAGGGCTGGGGGAAGTACAGGGGGCTGGCAAAGCAGCTGGGGAGGGGGCGTCCCAGAGAGCTTCTGGGAGGGAGGGACAGCTAAGCTGAGACGTGAAGCATAACCGGGGAATTCAGGGAAACAGAGACCAGCGAGCAGAGTGCCTTCAAGACACTAGAGCTGGAGAGAAACGGGAAGCTAGGTCCTGACAGCCAGATCACAGAGGCCTCCCAAATGCGCCAGGAAGCCACCAGAAGGCTCCCATCTGGGCACAAGACACACTTTGAAAGGGATCACTCCTGCAGTGTTGAGAATGAACTGGGGATTCAGGGGGACAAAAGTGGCCACGGGAGAACGCCAACCGCCTGGAGCAGAGGTGGGGGCACTGGAGCAGAAGGGTCAAGGTTAACGGCCCAGTCTGTTACGGCTGTTGCGGGGTGGGGGGTATTTCCTGAGCTGTGGAACCTGGCGGGGAGAGGGAGGATTTGGAAATAAAAGATGCGCTTATGACAACGTACATCAGCCATTTCCTGGTCGGTCCCCCGCTAGCACTGGAGACCCTGAAGGTTTAGTGACAAACAAGTAACATGCTGCGCGCTCGTGATCCCCTACATCGTTTTGCTGACTCTGCACTGTATACTTATCTTCCTTTTGCAGACTAGCAACGGACGCTCAAAGCGGGAAACTCCCTTGCCAAGGTCACGGGAGCAAAAGATGGGGCGGCGATTCGACCCCACTCCAGGGCTGGGCTCCTGGCCGCTTCCCGACACTACCAGACACTGGGTGCCGCGCTCGACAGTTTACCACAACCACGGGAAAAGGGAGTAGTATGGCACTCAAGGGGAAACTGAGGCTCAGAGAGGGGCAGCCCCCCGGCCAAGGCCACGGAGCCAGAGAGGGGCGTCCCCGGCGGCGGTGGGAGACCCCGAGACGGACCAGCAGGGGCCGGGGCGGGAGCGGGTGACGCTGTGGCTGAGAAGGACTTCCAGGCGGGGAAGGGAGACGGGCCGGGGACAGGCCCGCAAGGTCACGACCGAGCCCCGGGCCAGCGGGCCGCCCGCGCGCGGGGCACGGATCCCCTAAGCTGGCCCCAGGCCGGGCCGGGCGGGGTCCTGCGCGGGGCCTGGGTGGGGGG